CGATATAGTCAGTTGACTCCATCACTGACTATTGGGGGCGAGTCTTTGGCCCCCACTGAAAGGGCTCGCAATCTGGGAGTCCTCCTGGATAGGCAGCTGTCTTTGGAGGAACATCTGACGGCTGTTACCAGGGGGACCTTTTATCAGGTTCGCCTGATTCGCCAGTTGCGGCCCTTTCTTGATCGGGATTCCCTGTGCACAGTCACTCATGCCCTCGTCACCTCTCGCCTTGACTACTGTAACGCTCTCTACATGGGGCTCCCCTTGAAGAGCACCCGGAGGCTCCAGCTGGTCCAGAATGCAGCAGCGCGGGTAGTGATGGGAGCAACATGGCGCTCCCATGTAACACCACTCCTGCGCGAGCTGCACTGGCTCCCGGTGGTCTTCCGGGTGCGCTTCAAGGTGTTGGTTATCACCTTTAAAGCGCTCCATGGCATAGGGCCTAGCTATCTCCGAGACCGCCTGCTGCTACCGATGACCTCCCATCGACCCGTGCGCTCCCACCGAGAGGGCCTCCTCAGGGTGCCATCAGCCAAACAATGTAGGCTGGTGGCCCCCAGGGGGAGGGCTTTCTCTGTGGGGGCTCCCACCCTCTGGAATCAGTTGCCCCCGGAGATAAGAAGAATCCAGGACCTCAATGCCTTCCGTCGTTCCCTGAAAACCTATCTTTTTCAGCAAGCCGGGTTGGCTTAAGAAGAAATTTTAAAATTTTTAAATCCTTTTAATTAGTCTGCGATTTTTAATTTTTTGGGCCAAATTTTATATATATTTTTAAATGTTTTAATATTTGTATTCTATGTTTTTTATCTTGGCTGTACACCGCCCTGAGTCCTCAGGGAGAAGGGCAGTATATAAATTCGAAATTAAATTAAATTAAATTAAATTGATTATACATGTAATAACAGCTGCAAGAATTGTTTATGCTCAAAACTGGAAAACAGAGAAAATACCTTTGGAAGAAGAAGTAATAAAAAAAAAATTAGATTGTGCAGAAATGAATAGATCAACTTTGATGATTAAGGATAGGGAAGAGTCAATATTTTAAGATATGGAATTATTTTTATTGTTGGTTAGAAAAGAGATATAAATGATTAATTTCATAATTATGTAGAAAAATTTGATGACTAGAATATGGTTATAGTAATGAATTGTTGTAATGGTTTGGATGAAGATCAGGGTAGAAGAAACTTTTGGAAGAAGAAGAACAAAAAGAACTGAGGAAGATAACATCAAGATGTCATAGGGGAGGGATGATTGATGTACTAAATGTTTGTTTGTCTAAAAAAATGTAAAAAAAATTTTTTTTAAAAAAAGTTCAGATGTTCATAGTCCAAATTTGTAAGTCTTCATCCACATCCATCACACTATTCCCTCTTGAAATAAACAAATTTATGCAAAGCTGGGCAAAGGGATAAAGCATGATAAAGAAAATTTAAAAAATGAACAAAGAGAAAGGAAACGGTTTACATTTGCACCAGATCAGAGGTGGGTTTCAGCAGGTTCTGACCAGTTCTGGAGAATTGGTAGCGGAAATTTTGAGTAATTTGGAGAACCGGTAAATACCACCTCTGTCTGGCTCCGCCCCCATTTATTCTCTGCCTCCTGAGTCCCAGCTGATCGGGAGGAAATGGGGATTTTGCAGTATCCTTCCCCTGGAGTGGGGAGGGAATGGAGATTTTAAAGTATCCTTCCCCTGCCACGCCCAACAAGCCACACCCACCACAACATGCCACGCCCACCAAGCCACACTCACAGAACCGGTGGTAAAAAAATTCAAAACCCACCACTGCACCAGATCAACACCATTTTCTACATCCCTGAGTATCTTTTTGACTTTTGCTGATCATCTTAACTTCCATCACAAGAATACTTACTTCCTACTTTGCCTTTTGTTCTTTAGACTCCGCACCTCTTTCCTGAAGATCTCACCAGTGGTGGGTTGCCCCCGGTTCGCACCAGTTCCATAGAACTGATAGTAAAACCGGCGTGAGGCTCCGCCCACCGGCCCCGACATCATCAAAACGCTTCTGCGCATGTGCAGAAGAGCGCATGCGCGAGCAAAGCACACGCACGGCCCCGCTGCAAACTGGTAGTAAAGGTAAGTAGAATCCACCCCTGGATCTCACCACCTCCATTCATCCCTGACTTCCATTGTCTTCTTCTGACTCATTTACATTTCTCCTTCACCTACTTGTTTGGCAGCTTCATTCACTCTCTCTGTGGGGCTTCTTTCATCTCCATCACTCACAGTTGTATTCAGTCCATATTCATTGAAGCCCCCAGATATTTAAAATCAAGTCTTTGTTTTACCACACACACTTCTTAAGAAACCCTTTCCTACTGCATTCAACATACATTTATGTTTCACTGGATCCACCCAATTCTCACGTCCCATATGATCAAAAATTTTAGCAAGGGGTTCTCTGCCCGGTTGCTGGTGGGTATGGCCATGGTAGGCATAGCCTAGTCGGCTCCTGCACCACAGTGGGGTGATCCTGTACTATTCCTACATCATTCACATTAATGTTGGGGAGGGGTGTGAGAGTGACAGGTACATGTGCACATGCACCACTCCGTTTGTTGTGAGCGGCCAGCACATGTGTCCTCCACTCGGGTGAATAGAGCTTCGTGCAAATGGAGCTTCGTGCACGAGCATAGAGTGCTTGCGCTCACACACGGAGTTCCACTCGCGTGAGCAAAAGACACTCATGCACAAAGCTCCATTTGCAAGAGTAGAGTTTTGTGGGTGAGCACAAGTGCTCTCTGCTCATGCGAGTGGAGCTTCATGTGTGCACACATGCTTGCTTGCCCCTCGCGCAAATGGAGTTTCACACACGCACACGCTTGCCCATCTCTCCAATGGCCCGATTTCAAACAGGCTGCAGCCCGGTAATGGCCCGGGGGTTGGGGGCCCTTGGATTAGAACACCTCCAAGGTCTTCCAATGTCCCTTACAATCTTTACTGCACTGGGGATGTGACCTAACTGGGTAATGAAACATCCACAAGAAAACTACAAAGCTCAGAGAGCACAAAGGATTCCACATTTCTTCAGTCACTTCCAATGTTTATTTAATGAAAGTAGCTTTTTGTAAGATAATAGCAATAGCACTTACGACTTGTATACCGCTTCATAGTGCTTTACAGCCCTTTCTAAGCAGTTTACAGAGTCAGCATATTGCCCCCAACAATCTGGGTCCTCATTTTACTGAAGGCTGAGTCAATCTTGAGCTGGTGAGATTCAAATTGCCGAACTGCTGGCAGCTGGCAATGAGCAGAATTAGCCTGCAGTACTGCATTCTAACCACTGCGCCACCACGGCTCTATAATGTAGGTATAATGAAGGTATAAAGGCAGGTTTCCAACTTAGTTGTACCTATCAAATGCATCATTCTCTGATAATGTTCAGCATCACCTTATTTTGCTAGTAAAACTAAACCTTATCTTTATAGCCCTGGCAGAACCCCTTTCACCTATTAAGTGAAGCTAACCCTGCCTGGCTGCCAAGCCCAGCCAAGCTTAAACAGCTACTGCCAGGTGTCAAAAGTTATCTGTCTTTATATAAATTCCCAAATGATGCTGGCTTTTTGCTTGTGTGTAACTTCTGGTTTGCTGACTTTCTTAATACATATTGGGGTTACATTTTTCAATTTAAGGTCCAACTTTGTTGATCAGTGCATGTTTGAAAAATGTGTAAAGTTTAAAACAAAGTAGCTCAAAATAAACTTGCAAAAAGAAAATCCTGGTTCTTGTTAACGTTGAAACAATTTATGGTCCACTAGAGAGCAGCGAAAAGAGGCACAGAAAATAACCAATGTCTTCGATATAATTTACTTGAACTTCAGTAAGGCATTTGACAAAGTAGACCATAACCTACTACTTGATAAAATAGAAAAATGTGGGTTAGGCAGCATCACCACAGATGGATTCGTAACTGGCTGACCAACCACACTCAACGTGTAGTCCTCAATGGAACTGCATCTACACGGAGGGAGGTATGCAGTGGGGTACCCCAAGGCTGTTTTAGGCCCAGTATTCTTCAACATTTTCATCAATGACTTGGACGACAGGATAGATGGGGAACTCATCAAATTTGAAGATGACACCAAGCTAACAGGAATAGCCAACACTCTGGAAGATAGGCTTAAGATACAGAAGGATCTTGACAGACATGAACATTGGGCGCTAAGAAAATGAAATTCAACGGAGAAAAAAGCAAGGTTCCACATTTAGGCAAGAAAAACAAAATGCACAGGTACAGTATACGTGGTACTTTGCTCAATAGTGGAGACTGTGAGAGGGATCTTGGAGTCCTAGTGGACAATCACTTAGATATGAGTCAGGAGTATGCTGCAGCTGCCAAAAAAGCCAACACAGTTCTAGGCTGCATTAACAAAGGGATAGAATCAAGATCATGTGAAGTGTTAATACCACTTTATAATGCCTTGGTGAGGCCACACTTGGAATACTGCATTCAGTTTTGGTCGCAATGATGTAAAAAAGATGTTGAGACTCTGGAATGCAAAGAAGTGCAACAAAGATGATTAGGGGACTGGAGGCTAAAACATATGAAGAACGGTTGCAGGAACTGGGTATGTCTAGTCTGATGAAAAGAAGGATTAGGGGAGACATGATAGCAGTGTTCCAATATCTCAGGGGCTGCCACAAAGAAGAGGGAGTCAAGCTATTCTCCAAAGCACCTGAGGGCAGGACAAGAAGCAATGAGTGGAAACTAATCAAGGAGAGGAGCAACCTAGAACTAAGGAGAAATTTCCTGACAGTTAGAACAATTAATCAGTGGAACAACTTGCCTGCAGAAGTTGTGAATGCTCCAACACTGAAAGTTTTTAAGAAGAGATTGGATAACCATTTGTCTGAAGTGCCTAAGCAGGGGGTTGGACTAGAAGACCTCCAAGGTACCTTCCAACTGTGTTATTCTATTCTGTGGAAATTCGTTTCTAATTCTCTTGAATTCGCTGTTAGTTCACTCATCACTGGAAAATATTAAACCACAATACTTTATTAATCATTGACAGAGAATTGCATTAAGCAAACATTTATTGGACGTTAAATCCTAGACAAAAGCTTTTTTTTGCAAAGAAAGCAGAACCACCGTAATTCACAAATATGCAATACAGCTACTAATTTATGGGCCCAGTTTGTGTACATACACACTTCTGGGGATTTCTGATTTCCATCTGTTATTATGGGAGGCGAGGATCCTGTTACTGAGGGCAGGAAGAACCAAGTCCCTGACCACAAAGCAGCCACTTCCTGCCTTCCGCCTCCCCACCTCCTTCATTCTTCAGGAAAAGCTTCTTGAATCATCCTTCCAGCCTTGGAAGATTTCCATCGTTTTCGTTCTCCTGTCCAATTTTTTTAGCAGGCTCACCTACCTACACAAAATTGTGGTTTCTATTTCTTCTTTCTTCCGTCCTATATATGCCATCCTTCTCCAAGCTAGGAGGGTATATATAGATTGGTACCACTTTTCCAGCTCTGAATGCCATCAAGTTGCCCATGTGGTGGAATCCCCAGCTAGATTGGAGGGAGGGGTCAAAAAGGGCCCAAGTTTAGAGTCATTGCTTGAAGCTGTATCTTGCCATTCCCAAGGGAATGCAGGCAGTCTGGCCAGATCCTTGTAAACATAGCTGACTAAGAACTAATTGCTGAAACTCTTCATGAGAAGTTCTGGTTGCTTTGTCTACCTCTCCTACGAATTCATGGAAGATGAATATCAAAATCTCACGGGAATTGCCAAGCTCAAGATTCTGCGGTTCCCAGTTGAAGACAGTGGGGGGGATGGGTGTCATTCATTCTTATTGAAATATTGTGCATTACCTACTGATCAAATGAAAAACTTTGTCTTTTGCAATTTCAATCTTTTTCCACAGCCTACTTTCTTGAGATCAAGAGGTGGATTCTTTTTGTATGCCACCTTTTGTGGGATGTTATGAATTGATATGATTTATGAATTTATATAGCTCCCTGCTCACCGGAAGATATCCTGGGCAGCCAAGAAATCATTAAAAACCAAGTCAAGTTAGAAATAATAATTAGATGGAATTTTGTGCTAATTTTTTTTTAAAGAATGAATTCATTTCAGGATTAAAAATGAGACAGGTTGGATTTAAGATGAAAATTACTTAATAGAAAGAAGGGCACAAGGCACAACTTTCCCCCCTAATTCCTTTCTTCTTTACCGCATTTTTTTGACTATAAGACGAACCTAAATTTAGAAGAGGAAAATAACAAAAGAAAAAGCTTTGGCCTCCCTTTTTTCGGCCCTTTTGCAGTCTTTTTTCAGCCTGTTTCTGGGGCTTTTTTCGGCCCTTTTTTCCGGAAAAAAAAAAACAGGCCAAAAAAAGCCTCAAAAACTCACCAAAAAGAGCCTTGAAAATAGGCCCGAAAACAGGGCATGTGGAGGTCAAACAATGGCTGGCGGGCGGGCGGGCAGAGCTTCAGAAATATTCAGTCTATAAGACATTTTCACCCCCTTTTGGGAGACAAAAAAGTGCATTTTATAATCCGAAAAATACAGTATTTATTTTTCTGTTGCCTGGAACCCCCCCCCCCCCAAATTTCTTCTTGGGCCTACCAGGCCATCGCGTGCCAGGAGCAGGGGGTGGGGTGGGGTTTGCACGCGCAGGGCAGGGCACATAGAATTATCGGTGTGGGTACGCGCATGCGACCCTCCCCTGCCCCCCCCTCTCCTGGCACGCGATGGCAAAAAGGTTAGCCATTACTGCCATATACCATTTGACTGACACAGAAAGAAGTGGAAGAATCAATCTGTCAGACCTAGAAGCCATCTTTTGGAACACTGACACAATCCTTAGGATTTGGAAATTACATTTCTGCTTATCCAGTCTAAAATAGCATTTGTCCTTTAAAAACACATAATGGCGGTTGGTACCTTCAAAGTAATTATCTTTGGTTATAACACAAATTGCACATATCTAAATCCTTCCTTATTCTCTCCACATGTAAATAACCAGCCTTTGAATTCTGATTTTTTTTTTGTACAATGATTTAATATACATATCAAAAAAATTCAAACAAAATATAGTCAGGCATTTTAAGCAATGCATACATTCTTTGTATCTGCATGTCCAGATGATAAACTGAAGGCAAAAGCTAGGAAAAACTAGGTTGTTTGTCTTTGGTAGTTCACCTAGCATTTTGCCTTGATATGACAAAGCCTCACAGGATAATGAAAAAGAAAACTTGTGGATAGCTCATTTATTGGAAGTCTTCAGGCAGGAATTCGAAAGTTTAAGGACCTCACATGCTCCCAAAGAAACTTTCGCTGCAAAATTAAGGCCTCCTTGGGAAAGGAGATATCCCTGCTAAATGAACTGTCCATCCTGTGTTGGGGGCTTCAAGAAAATTCCCCGTTTCTACCTTGTAAGATCAGGGATGGGCAACTATGGCCCCTTTATGGCCTGTGGACTTCAATTCCCAGAATTCCTGAGCCAGCTATGGTGTTCCTGAGCTATGCTGGCTCAGGAATTCTGGGAACTGAAGTCCACAGGCCATAAAGGGGCCATAGTTGTCCATCCTTATTGTAAGATGAACAATGCAGGGTCGGCTTTGTATAGCTCACTTAATGTACATGACAAAAGCTGTTCAAGATCTTGCCAGCGTTTATCTAACGTGAGAATGACTGTCTTATTTTACACAGCACCGATTTTGCTGGTGGCTCCGGAGACAACAGACACATGAATGTATGGGCTGGATGTATTGTGCAAGTTGGTATAATGGTTCTTACATCTGGAGGAAAAGAGGCAAACACTGGTGAGTCTCAGAGGCTTTTACACTGTGAATATACCCTCATGCACACACTTATATACACATGGACTCCTGTCTGTCCATGCATACTACACACTAGTTAAAAAAAGCAATCTCAAAAGATATACATGGATAGCACATAGCAGCTTACATCCAATTATGTACAAGGTTTCACAGTTAAGAGCTTTCTTTTGAAAAAGCTATTCCACAACTTCGGGACACATACCTACTCTTGATGTTTTTCTATAAATAATACCTTTACAAATTCAAAGTGGTCCATATTTGGGAACTTGATTATCTAGTCTCAGGAAATAAAGCCATGTATAAAACCTGTGGACCACTGAAGCTCAAAGGGCTTTAAAAAGCCTGATGCACTTTTATTCATTCCTGATTGTTTTTCTAACTCCGGTAGGAAAGGAAAGAGATGATGGCTGAAGGAACAGGCAGGGTCTCCACTTTTCTTGTAGGCATCACCCGTCTGACAGCCATCCGACACAAATGCTGGAGGCTGGGAATGTGTTTGGGAGAGGTCCAGAAATACACACTTCCGTCCTGTGTTCTGTGGGGGAGGAAAAAAAACCCATACAGAAATAAATTAAATGCCGTGCATTTGCTTTTTCTCCAAGGAATACTAGCTGTCATACAGAGTGCAATCCTCATCCTCAACTGGGGGGGATGGAATCCAATCTCTATAGAGCAATGTTTCTTGACTGTGGCAAGTTTAAGATGTTGGACTTCATCTCCCAGAATTCACCAGCCAGTATGAGCGCAAAGTGTGGCTATGTTGGATGCCCAAAGAAGGGCGCAATAACACCCTTGCTCTGTGAACTGCATTGGGTGCTGTTTTGCTTCCAGGTCTAATTCAAGATGTTGGACATCACCCATAAAGCCCTACATGGCATAGGGCCAGACTAATTATAAAACTGGCTTTGCCCTATTGTATCAGCCTGTCTCATTTAATAAGGCAGGGAGGGTATGTTGTAAACCAGTCAAAAAATCCAACTGGTGGGGTCTAGAAAGAGAGCCTTCCCCTATGGAATATCCTTTCCCCGGAGGTGAGCCAGCCTTCCCCCCCCCCTTCCTGGTTTTCCATTAAGGAGTCAAAATTTGGCTCTGCGGACTTGCGTGGGAGGCACAAAAGACCATCCAATCATGGGGCTGCTTGGTACCACGAGAGCCCTCCCTCTGTCTTTATTGATCAACTTTAACAGTTAGATTGCCTTCTTGGAATTTGGTGACCTTTTGAAATTGCTGTTGTTTTATAATCTTATAATTTTAAGTTTTTAAATCCGAAATGAACCTCAATATTTTAATTCTAATCTTATATGCTATTTTGTATTATACTGTAAACTATCCAGGGCTCCTCTTTGAGAAGGACGATCTAGAAATACAAAATATTACATACATAGATACATACATACATGGCTTCTTAACTCTTTCTAGAGGACAGTGAGTTGGATCCAGAAAAACCCATCTAACTCATCTGCTGCCAAGGTTATTAATACCCCCCAGCTAATGATTATGCAATTTCTGTGACACCAAAATACTTTTTTAAAAATAGCCAAATTCTGAGAGATTGCCAATCTTGGCTAACTGAGGGATGCCCTTCAAACTTGCAAGGGCACAACAGAGCCTGTTTGATTTTATGGGGTCAGAAAAGGACCTGGCAGGTAGGCATGCTTTGTATTCTGCGCTGGGTTCCCGGAGGGTATAAAGGTGGGATCTACAGCTAACAAATAAGTTAAAATCGTTGGTCCAGTCACTCACTCGCAACCCACTGAGTTGTTGTGATGGGGAAAGCAGGAACAGGAAGGAATATCATGTATGTTTCTCATCTTGAATTACTTGTAAATAAAAGCTGGATAAAAGTCAAATGAACAGACAGACAGACCAACAACAGAGTAAGTAATTGTAAATGTATAATATTTTCTCTTGCAAAGTCTCCTTACCCAGCAGCTAAAACACTGCCATCAGTAGAAAAGGCACAGCAAAGTCCATTCTTTAAAGGTGCAACTTGCACAGGGTAATCCTCATCAATTCTCCAGAACCGAACCAGCCTGAAAGAAACAGCAGCAGACAAATTAAGAGGCCTGATTGCGATATCTCTGGCAAACAGTTTTGCTTATCCCATGCCTCAGATGGCTTCCAGAGGATTCTCAAAGGAACTGAGGACCCATGAAGAAACATAAATACAGTTTGGGTGTGGCTTTGAATTAGCCAACTGGATGCAAACTGTAAAAATAGTTTTGAGTCCAGGCCAGAACTGTAACCCAAACAAGCGCCTCAGACAAGATCCTTCCTAGTTCTAATATAAAGATATAGAGAGGAAGGGAGGAAACACATTCAGATTTGCAAGATTTTGTTCATTAAAACCTTATAATGAAAGTGGAATTGGCTTATATACTTTGTTTTCCTGGTCTGGTCTACCTGGGAGGGCTGATGCCTGATATTTAAACCACAATAACTGGTTTATGCAAAATATCCATCCAAAGGCAGACAAACAACAATTGGCTTCCCATAAGGTGCAAATGCAACCATTGTAACTCAGCAGCAATCCAAAATAATGTACAACCTTTATAGGAGCAAAGGGGAAATTGTATTTCTTGCTGAAACAGAACATTCAGGCTCATTTTTGTTCCTGTGCATGAAGTCTCATGCTTCCACACAGTTTTAGAGGTGGCCAGGGGACTGTCCCCTTTGTACCTCAAACCCATTTAAGGGTCATTTTGTGAAGTATGCAACTACAATTGGCCACTCCCAAATTATGAGGTACCCAATTGTCTTATTTAAGAATAGCATTCTGGACTTCAGTATGTTCATGCCCAAATCTTGCCTTATCCATTTTATGCATTTTTTACTCAACCCTGAGTAAAAAGATCCTGTTGTTCCGCCAGGCCGGGCTATCAACATAATAATTTTAAATTGGGGTATTTTAAATTTTTGGGGTTTTAATCCGGCCAAATCTATTTAATTATTTTTAATCATTGTTGTGTCTTGTGTTTGTAAATTGGCTGTACACCGCCCTGAGTCCTTCGGGAGAAGGGCGGTATAGAAATAAAATTATTATTATTATTATTATTATTAACTGTCCCGGGGTGTCAAACAAAAGGCCCACAGACCAGATTTGGCCCACAATGTGGTCGGATCCAGCCCGCGGGGCCATCCTGGAAAGTGTAACAAGCCAACCCCGCGTCGTTTCGGCCCGGTCTACCCAATGTGGTTTCTACCCAGTGCGAAGAGGAAACATGGCAACCGTTTGGGGAGTGGTGTCAAGCTGGCCATTCCCACTCAGTTGGCCACAACCCCCCCCACCCCACCCCCGAGGCCAACCACAGCCGATACGGCCCTCAATGAAATGGAGTTTGACACCCCTGGTCTAGACTCTATGGAGATTCTCAATCATTTAGGTCATGGTTGTCCCGAAGGCGCTTTTTTCAAAAGGCAACTGGATTTTCTTGGGTTTTTTTCTTTCTTGAAAACATTTTGCTCCTCATCCAAGAAGCTTCCTCAATTCTAAATGACAATCGGTTAGAACTGAAGAAGCTTGGATGAAACACAAAAAATTTTCAAGAAAGGAAAAAACTAAGAGTCCCATTGCCTTTTGGAAAAAAGCACCTTTGGGATTTCTATTCAGCTGTATCTCTGGAAAGCCTTAAAAGAAGACAAAAGGCTCGGACTTATCTTTCTTTCCCTGGAGACCATGAAATTGAGAGCATTCTCCCTGGCAAGCTCTAATCTAGCATATTGCCAACCAGCACAAATCCCAGTGAAAGATTGCAATTGTACTTTTAGGTGTGATGAACCAGATCTTTCAGGCCCTCATCTGCTCTTATTACAATGGCAGGGTATTTTATGGTTTCCTTACTAGCTGAACTCCAGAGGGCACCGACTATTATCTGTTAGCAGACAGAAATGTCCGACAGATATATATAAAGCTGCTACATTATGCGTTGCACTTCATTAACTTTTGACAGGTTTTTTTCTCTTTTCCTTTCTAATATGAATTAACCTTTGACACTTAATGATTACTCAGAGCTGACCATAGTCACTGAATCATCACAGTTCTATTTTATTTCCTGAATGGGCTGCACTTTCTGGCAGAAAGCATGCTCAGGAATTCTGGGAGTTGAAGTTCAACAGGTCATAAAGGGGCCATGGTTCCCCACCCCTAATCTAGATTATCCCACAACTTTCCCAAGCATGGCTGATTAGGATACAAGGCGAATCCATTCTATGACAGCAAGGATCAACATTTATTAAATCCTGTCCTTGACATTCTTTCTTGATTTTTAAGAGAGCTTTAAAAGCATTTTTAAAATCTAACTTTGGCTTTTTTTTAAACAAAAAAATCATTTGAGATATTTGCCTTTCTTGCTGATTATACTTGACATTATCTTGCCTCTGGCTCAGTTACTGCTCAGGCAGCCGCTGTAGAAAATAAATTATAAATAAATGATTATATTTTAATCTGATTATCATGGATCATCTTTAATGGCAGTTAGGGCCGTATTTTTCTCATCCACTTAAATGAACCAATGCCGGGGTTTACCGAACAAGATTATTTTCTCGACCAGCAAGAACTAGCATAATCCAGCACGCTTCAATATATACGTACTTATCATCAGCAAGTGTTGCAATATGCAGTCCATCATGACTGAAAGATAGAGATCTGACCCAACGGTCATTGGCTCCTCCAGCAAATATTGGAGTTGGAGGGGGAAACAGATGCCTGTGGACAAAAATGAAACTTTATATCAAAGTTTTGGAAGCAGTTGCATTTTATTTCATCTTTAAGATCTACAACAGAGGTCCCTGGGATCTGTGACTAAGTGCTAGAGAATGAAGGAAGATCTATGAAGCTCTCCCAGCTTCAATTGCAGAATTGCATTTCCAAAATCTCTCCTTTTTCAATCTGCTTGGACAGAAGCCAACAGTTAAATTAACATTCTGTTTATTATTTTCAAAAAGGAAGATTTTTTTTTCAAAAGCATTTTAGGACTACTCAACAACCTACAAGGTGTAGACTAGCTTAAAGCAATGTGCCGAATGACACACAGGTAGTCCTTGACTTAGAAATAATTATTGAGCCCAAAATTTATGTTGCTAAGCGAGACATTTGTTAAGTGAGTTTTGCCCCATTTTACTTTTTTGCCACAGTTGTTAAGGGAATAACTGTCATTGTTAAATTAGCAGCACGGTTGTAAAGTGAATCTGGATTCCCCATTAACTTTCTTGTCAGAAGGTGATCACATGACCCAGGGACATTGCCACCGTCATAAATATGAGTCAGTTGCCAAGCATATTGATCATGAGATCATGGCCATACTGCAATGTTTATAAGAGTGAAAAATGGTCATAAGACAGGTTTTTTAGTATTGTTGTAACTTCAGTCACTAAACTGTTATACTTTGAGGATCACCTGTATTGATATTCAGAAGTCAATAAATTACCACAATAGTTTAACACTCTGTATTAGTACTTTAACAGTTCGCAGAATCCTAAGTCTCCAAGATGAGCCAGAGCTTTCCTATATTCTTTTGATCTCAAAAATGCTTCCCACTGCTGCCCCATAAGAAGCAGCCATCAGTGTTTATAAAGGTAAAGGTTCCCCTCGCACATGTGTACTAGTTGTTCCGGACTCTAGGGGGCGGTGCTCATCTTTGTTTCAAAGCCGAAGAGCCAGTGCTGTCCGAAGACGTCTCCATGGTCATGTGGCTGGCATGACTAAATGCCAAAGGCGCACAGAACGCTGTTCCCTTCCCACCAAAGGTGTTCCCTATTTTTCTACTTGCATTTTTTATGGGCTTTCGAACTGCTAGGTTGGCAGAAGCTGGGACAAGTAACGGGAGCTCACCCCATTACGCGGCACTAGGGATTCGAACTGCTGAACAGCCGACCTTTCGATAAGTTCAGTGTCTTAGCCACTGAGCCACCGCGTCCCTTCTATCAGTGTTTATAGGTGTTTCCAAATTGCCCAGAGAGAGGGGTGGGGTTTTTGTGTGTGTGTGTGTGTATGTGTGTCTGGGGTACAGAGAATCTCAAGATGGAAAAAGAAGGGGAAAATCCATTCTGCATGAATAAAATTGAACACACCCCTATTGTTCCCCTGCTGTCATTGTTTTGAGCCTACCCATGCTGATTGGGGAATTCTGGGAGTTGAAGTTCATACATCTTGAAGCTGCCAAAGTTAAGAAAGAGTGGACCAGACCAAGGCACAGGCTTACCCAAACTCCATCAATATTGCTCCAATATGGGGGTCCCAGATATAGACACGGGTGTCGTAAGATGCAGTAGCCAGCAAGGCTCCATCAGGGGAAAACTCACAGGCTACAACATCGTGATGATGCCCCTCCAGTTTTCGGATGAGGGTGTATTTATCCATATTCCAAAGCAATACCTGTAATCAAAACAAGGCCATGTTATAGTTCTGCTCAATTCCAGGGGAAGCATTTTCACCCAGCCCACCCCTCCCCCACCCCAGAACTTTGTACTAGTACTTGGAATTAAAATTAAAGGCCAAGCATGATGAACTACTAAAATTAAAGAATATGCTCAGTGTCGTATTCAGAATTACAGAAATTAAAGTACACATGCAATGCTAACATGTTAAGTGTTATTCGTATTGTAAACCAATAATATATAAAGATAAGTGTCAAGTGGAAATTTAACAGTGTAGGGTTCTTAACTGAAAGGCATGTAATATTTATCTACTTTTAAAATAACCGTAATAGGGTTAAAGTACTAACATCCCCATTCTGTTCAATTATCTACCCCAAATTTAAGAAATATACAGACAGAAAAAAAAAAGGAAGGTTAACATATTGTTACTCCCGTGGAATTCCCTGTGAGTTTAAGACCACTTGTTTACAAGAGGCTTGGATCGCCAACGACAGCCTAGGAAGAGAAACAGATACTGCAAGCAAAAACAGGTATTGTCACAGCCAAATGACATGACTTGGCAAAAACAAAAATTAATCCAAGTTATTAAAAGTATGGACATTTTAAGCTTACTTTTAAGCATAAAAATCAAACATTATTGCCAGGCTCTTTCCTTAAATAAGGTTTCAATAAATAAGCATTTCTACTGGCAGGCATGAGTCAAATACAGTTCACGTGCATTTAAATAATTTTTGTCACATTGCGGTGATTTTAAGCACGTCTGGGAGAATCTATCAAATTTATACTACACACTTCTGTGTATTATCAACAGTCTAGCAATGAAAACAAATCTGCACAGAAGATGGGTTGTGGTTGTTATTTTAATAACACAAAATAAATATATATTGTAAATCACTCTGAGCCTTAACACTAGGCAGAGTTTTTAAACATACGATCGCACAACATGAATTTGTGCATAATATGTAGAACAAGTAAGTTCTTTAAGTCTCTGTTATGTTACTATAACAAAACTTTGTTAAATCAGCTACAGTAAACTGACAATTGCCTCAAAGTTAATAGACTCCAACATTCCGTAGGAATGGAAAACTAAAACATTAAAGTTGATAGGGTTTTTTTTCTTTAAAAAGGAGTCAGTGGCTCTCACCAATGAGAAAATAAAAAAGAAAAGAAAGGGGAAAAAAAAGCAGAAGGTGGACATCAACCAGCACCTGCGTACGTACAGTACACCCTGCAGCCGAATGCAAGGTTACTTCGTCCTATGGTAAAGTTCGCCTCCAGCCTGGTAGCCGGAGGTGCCAATCTTTCTGCCCAGCTAACACCATTGTGCGCTTGTCTGAGTGGTGCCAGCTTACCCTCAATCACACCAATATTGCTGCCACCACCTGTGACAGGGAAAGCAAGAAGCTTATGGAAAACACACAGCCTAAAAGATCAAGGCATACATCCACATCTGTTCTGTTTAAGACTTTACTGACTAATCTGCCCTCTCTATGCCACTGCTTCATAATATTAAAATATGTTCTCCCCCAATCCCCCACCATGCTAACCTGGCTAAGCTGCTAAAATGAAGCCAGGATTCTTGCTAGCCCAGAGGATGGACAACTTGGTCAACGCTGAAGGCCACTGCAGAAGAATTTAAAAGTCGACTAACAGCCGCAGCACCCACCCAAAGCCAAAACATTCTTTTTGCAAGAATTTGGCTGGGGTAAGTCAAAGTAAGGGTAAGAGCTGTGCAATTATGCGATGGCATAAAATCAATTCTGAAGCGGTGGCTCTGAAGTAGGATACAAAACCACACCCCAAACTCTTTTTATATTTTTGTTTTAAACAGGATGTTTTTTTTAAAAAGAAACTTTTAACCCAAAAGCTTTACGAAAGTGAATCTGGGCCATCCTCCCAGTTCATTGCAAGCCTTGGATTTTACTCATTATTTTTCCAGGCTTACAGCCCACCATTCATTTTAGAAATTTTTAACTTTTTGCAGGAAATGTAGAATTCCTGATCCCAACAAAACTCTTGACACCATATAAATAAGCCTCAGGAGACACAAGTTGCCCACCCGTAAATGAGTTCAATCTGGAATTTATTATGGTATATATAAGAAACTAAGTCTCACATAATGCTTCTCAAAACTTAGTCCCCCTGATTAAAACTAATGGCTTCCCTCCCAAGCTAGTTTCTACAACTTCCAGTCTTCAGAACCTGAGCCTCTCAAGATGTTTTTCCAATAGCATCACTGACCATTTGCCATCTTGACTGGACTATCCCACGTTAAAGAACATCTGGAGAGAATCAGGTTGGAGAAGGCCCCTTAATGTTGAAAATTAACTTAATTCTGAACTTTGAAGCAGGGCATTGCAGTTTTATTTAAAACATATCATACTAGCTCTTTACAAGGCACAAGGGTTGCTTGTAGTTAAATAACCAACCAACCAACCATAAACCAAGGAATGTTTATGTTTATGTTTGTTTAGGTTTAATTAAATTTATATACCGCCCTACTCCCGAAGGACTCAGGGCGGTGAACAGGCTATTGTATTATTAAATAGGAGAGCAGCCCAGGCTTTAGGAGGAAAATATAAGAGGCACCAAGAACAAAACATGTATTTCTATTAATATTAAAACCATTTCTTCTTAAATCGGAATTTGTATTTTATTTGTAAAAAATTATGGAACAGATGGAGACATGCAGAGATTCATTTTCTCTGAATCTAAAAGCAATGCAGTGTCAGCTCAGTAACACCTAACTGAGCAACCTTATGCTAATTACTGTAAATATTTTGGTCATGCAAATCCTCACATCATCATCAAAGCAGCATGACGCCAAGCACAAACATATTTTTATTTTAAGATTCCAAATTATTCTTTGCTCACAACTGAAATACACGCTGAAGATCATGAAACTTTGATACCTACTGTTTTATTGGTTCCCACAGAGCAGAGGATGGAAGAATCAGGAGAAAAAGCACAGCTATACACCCAGTTTGGGTGTCCTCTTAATACTTTCATCATATTTCCTGGAAAATTAGAGAAGAAAATGGATTGGTATCAATCGCTCTCTGAATTATAGTGATTTGGGGCTTTGTCTACGTAATTCCCACCGTTCTTTGCCTGCCCAAAGTTAAACTAAATTAAACTGCCCACTTAAAAAAATTCCAACACTACAACCAAGTAAAAATGATAAAAAAATCCAAAAAAAGTGTTATATTATTGGGGAATATAATATCTTGTATTATATTCATAATATATCTTAACTTATCATGTTCCTGATGGTAGCAGGACATTGGTCATTCTTTAAAGTGAATAGAAAAAAAATTATCAGCTTTCCATCTTCTCACCAAGAAAGTGGTGCCATTTAATAAGGAGCAACGACTTTTAAAAATGAATTGTAGCAACTTCCCTACAAGTAGGGAGTCAAATTTCAATACATCTGAGGTTGAACCAGGGTGGGTTTCACAGGTGCAGAACATAATTTCAAAATTCCATTCAATTTATTTAGAACAGGGGTGTCAAACTCGTGACCCGCAGGCCAGATGCGTCACGTGCTGGCCCCGCCCCCGCAAAAGGGGAAAAAGTCCCGATACGTCATGTGATGACGTCGTGATGACATGAGTTTGGCACCCCTTGATTTAGAACATGCTGCTGTTACTGAATAAATGGCTCCCTGATCTTTTATTATCCCTTGTAGTAAAAGGATCTGTAATGTATTTCCTGCCAAGGACCACATGTAATCTTTAAGAAGCATGCTACAAGGTACAAACCAAAAAGGGCTAGGTGTTTTATGTGCCTTAATTTTAATTTAAGTTAGTATAGCAATTTGTGGTATATTTGTTGTATTACAACAGTAGTGACTTCTAGGAGAATTAGAACACCCAAGATTTTGGTGACTCTATAACACAGTTGTCCCTTTCCCGAAAACATACCATCATCCTTTAGGTCCCACACTCGTAATGTTTTATCTCTTGAGGCCGATACTAGTATCAGGCTGCCATCAGGGGCAAAAGTCAAGTGTCTGACAACTTCAGTATGATCCATTAAGTTAAGGAGGAGCTTCCCTGTTGGAAAAATGCATTTTACTCTTCAAATTGCACTTATGACTATGTGCTTGATATTCCATAGTTAAGGCAGAGGACAAAGATCATCCTATGAAATTATTGCAGCTCTTGAGACAGTTTTAAATTGAGACGCTGTAATAGTTTTCCTTTCTCTATTATTACTTTGAACATATAGAATAGAATTTTTTATTGGCCAAATGTGATTGGATACACAAGGAATTTATCTTGGTGCATATGCTCTCAGTGTACATAAAAGAAAAGATGCGTTCATCAAGAATCGTAAGGTACAACACTTAATAATAGTCATAGAGTACAAACAAGCAATCAGGAAACAATATCAGTATAAATCGTAAGGATACATGCAAGAAAGTTACAGTCATAAGTGGAAGGAGATGGGTGGTGGGAACGATGAGATTATTAAATAGTAGTGCAGATTTAGTAAATAGTTTGACAGTGTTGAGGGAAATTATTTGTTTAGCGGAGTGATGGTGTTCGGGAAAAAACTGTTGTCTAGTTGTTCTGGTGTGCAGTGCTCTATAGCGTTGTTTTGAGGGTAGGAGTTGAAACAGTTTATGTCTACGGTATGAGGGGTCTAGAAATATTTTCACAGCCCTCTTTTTGACTCGTGCAGTACACAGGTCCTCAATGCAAGTCAGGTTGGTAGCCATTGTTTTTTCTGCAGTTCTAATATCCTCTGAAGTCTGTGTCTGTCTTGTTGGGTTGCAGAACCAAACCAGACAGTTATAGAGGTGCAGATATATAATTCATATACATTTATAAATCTTGAAAAGTAATTGTAGCATCCAATGCCATGAGACCCAAATTTTTATATTGTCTCTGCCTGCAAACAATTGAGTGCTATTTTATGTTTTATAATATCAATATAGGAAGTTTTAAATGCATGTGAAGTTTTGGCTCAAGCGCCCTGTAAATTCTCTGTGACAAAAAAAAAAGAAGATTTTAGATGGTATAACTTTCTACATTCTTTAGCCAAAATAGGGAATAAATTATTGTACTGAGCCTTTGAGAAACAAAGTGTATCTATTTTACCCTCAGCCTCCAGATTCTCATTCTCCAAAATAAACCTAGAACCTTTGGAGAATTCCCAAAATTTTATAATTAAAATACAGACTTGACCCCCAAAAGACTGTCCATCCACGTTGCCACACAAGACAAGTTTGCTCCAGCAGGGATGGGTAGCCATTCTACATACACTTTGAGTTCTGTTAGCATGAGGTGGGCATTTTCACAAAATGGCTGCCTGAGAAAACTTGCTTATTCATAAAATGGCTGGCATGTTAGCCATAGCCAGTTACAAAACAGCCACTTATCAGAGGGTGAACTAGACCAGGGGTCTCCAATCTTGGCAACTTTAAGACTTGTGGACTTCAACTCCCAGAATTCCTCAGCCAACAAAGCTGGGAGTTGAAGTCCACAAGTCTTAAAGTTGCCAAGGTTGGAGACCCCTGAACTAGATGACCAAGATATTCTCTACTGTTATAATGGGATCTCTGTGGGCCCAACAACCCCACTCCCCAATAAATAGGAGGTTTTCCCTATTAGAAACAGTTTCCTATTTAAATAATCAGGAGGAGCAGAGAGATTGATGAGTAGAAAAACAAACATCAGAGAATTTAGTATCCCAGGGATGTATACAAAATGGAACAAATCATTTTAGGAAGTCCTGCCAAACCATTCAGGGGTGGCTATCATTCAGCATAAAAAAATGTTACTGTGGTTCCAGATTTGGACTGGGAAAATACTCACAGGAATCCCAGAATTATTTTCCAAAGTAGAAGACTGGTGCACCCATATGTCTCACTGGCTTATCCTCATCTCTACTTTTCCTATCATAATTTCTTTCCTCCACCATTTCGCAGCCTCCCACAACTTTGAGGTTACCTTGCTCTCTACCTGCCCCTATGAACACTCCCAACTGACAATTCCAGCTCAGTCTGTATCGGGAACAATCCCTTTCTCTCTTATCCAGACCAAACATGCTTATTACAGCTTTTACGTGAACCAACCACCCAAAACCAGCTGTGCTTGTACAGAACAGTTTGTGCACACATTATTTTGCACGCTTTCTCTGTGTTGCCTGTCCCTGACCTTTATGGCAGTCCTTCAAATATTTGAAGGCAGTTATTTTACCACCCCTGGTTGTCTTTTTCTGATGCTAAGCAAATCCTTTCGATATCCCTTTTGATCTCTAGGCCCTATATTTAACTAATGAGGTATTACACATAACTTATGTTTATTTTGTTTTTTTTTAAAGAAACCTTTGATCCCAAACAGGCCTCTTTTAAGTCAATATACTTGAGTTATCTACTGGATAAACTTTATAAAAAAGTGCCAGGATAACTTATCTCCCAAGCAGTTTCAAGATTTTAATACAAAAGCCACTGGTTCAACATTTAAGGTTTATGCAGCACAATGCTGTTTGTATTTTAAGTTTGAAGAATTGGGCATCAACTTGTATTCAGATAAAATAAAAGTTAAACTGGACGAAAATTACAGTTGCACTTTTCAGGAAGTGAAATAATTTATACTAAAGGAACACATACAACAGTGGCTCACAAGTAACAATAATTTTTTCACTTATTATATACCATTCTTGCTTCTCTTCTAAATAAAAAATAGAAATGTTTCTCTCCAGATATCACTAGCTTCCTCTCAATTCCAACCAGCAAGTATTTTATTACTTATTTATTAAACAAATGTATAGCCACCCAATTCACATATAGGTGACTACCGGCAGCCTACAAAATGAAAAAAACCCATCATATAATAAAATCCATTCCACCCACTCCCAATGGTAGCGACAACACAATCAAATTTGCCATTTGATTAGCTCCATCACCATTCACAATGCCCAGGCCTGCTAACAAATCTACGTTAAGGCCTTTCAGAAAAGCAGCAGAGTGGGATGGGCGCAAATGTACCTTGAGGAGAATGTTCCATAAAAAACGGGCCACCACCAAAAAGGCCCTTTATCATGGTCCCACCAGATGATAATCTCCAATCAATGGGACCTATAACATGCCCTGTCTTCCTGTTTTGGTGGGCTGAATAGAAGTAATAGGTATAACTGGTCAAATAACCTGGTCCCAACTCATGTAGGTGTAAGGCTGGTGGAAGCTGTACTATGGCAACATCTGAAGGGGGCTAACCTCATTGTTATTTTAGAAGGAAAGCAAGACACATGAGCTCTCTCAAAATGTCCTTCCTTACCTGTATAGGCATCCCATATTTTGATGCGTCCATTGGCTAAGCCTGTTGCTAACAGAAGCTGGTCTTGACCAAATCTGAACCGGTGCCATTCTATATTCACACATCGACTCTGTTTCTCAGGTACCGATGATCCAAATGCAAGACTCCAGACGATGTCGCCACAATCTATGACCTGCTCACAGGGCTTGTTTTTCTGGTCGCCATCACTGTTCTGCCTTGAAAGCTTGGAATGATTTAAGTTGGCAAAGTTCTTTACACCGTGCAATGAGCTGTGGGTGAAAAAATTAAGGGTAAACGTTCTGCAAGAACAAAGTCCTAAAGGCATGCCCATTTATTTAAATATCCTGTTATAAACCAGTATAACATTCCAGCCCTTTGGACTTTAAAGTCCCAAGAACATCAAGAAGGATCATCACTGACAAGGGATTGTGGTTTTCTAGTAAACTCATGTAAATACATTTCTTTATGGAGGTGTCAACAGTCAACACTAACATCAATCACCCCATAATATTGCAATCCAGTATTTAATACATGAAGAAAGATGATGGAATTTTAGCTAGAAGAAAGCATTTTCTCTCTATCCCTAAGAACCAGGCCACTGTTTTGGACAGAAACAAAGCAGAGGGCATATCGAGGCCAAGGTAGAATTAATCCATGTCTTCTAGATTCAAACCCAAATGTCAACCCACTGAGTTACAACTAGCTTGCTTCATCATGAGGCAGTATGATTAAGCCGAAGAACCAATCCTTTGAGGAACCACTCTCTAGGGCTTATTGGATTAGATCAGGGGTGTCAAATTTGCGGGCCGGATGCATGACGCACTGGCCATGCCCACCCGTTTTAGCAAAGGGGGGGGGAAAGTCACGATATGTCACGTGGCCATGCGAGTTTGACACCCTTGTATTAGATACTCTCTTCTGTTTAGAACAGAGCAGCCTTTCCTAACATGAGGGATATGGGGAATTTATCCAATATTATTTAGAAGACCAAAAGGTGGGGAAGGTTAGAATGGGTAATCCCCATGAAGCCAACAAGAAAAGACACAACAAACTTAAAGCATATTTTTACTACTGTATAACACTGTGGTAGTACATAACACAGCTGCTTGGTAAGTACAGTAATGTGTTATGCGGACTTAGATACTGTGGTTTTAAGTTACAGTTAATGTGTCATGACATATGCTATGTTTAAGCAAACCATAATCTAGCACTATATATATATATTCAGGCAAAATATAACTGAGTTCAATTTGCTATCTTTCCCTGATATTGTATTTAATTTAAATTTTAAAAAAAAATCCATAATAGGAAGACTGTAAAAAGGTCTCAGACAAATAAACAAATAGATTTTTCTAAGACAGCCATACTCACAAGTTCTTAAGGCACTGAGACCAGGGAACAAGCTTTACTAGGCGATGGCCTTGTGACCAAGCGAAGTAGGAGCCATCTGGAGCAAAAGCAACTGTCCAGTTTTCACGGCCACACTTCTTATCAAAAGGAGAAGCTGGAGCTAAGAGTTCTCCTACTGTCCGTGACCGTCCTAAAAAAATAAAGTTTATCATTTGTCAGACATTCAGCAGGTATAACTTCATACCAAAAGTTAAATGTTTTGAACAATTGGGCATGGGTAATCTGATTCCATTTTCAGGTTACACATTCACAATTCCCCACAACAGCAGAATATAAAAATATATATATAAACCCACAATTTCATAGTCAGAAACATGATAAACAACATAAATCTGAATAGAATCGAAGTATATCAAAAAGAAAATGGCTTGCCATTTCAAAAATTACAAGGGACAAAAAGTTGCAATTCCTCCTGCTACCACATGCAGCACAAATTAGATAGTACAATTGAGGATCAGAAACTATGTGTGGGTTTTTTTTATTGTTGTTGCTGCTTTGAGTCAGATGAGACTTCTGATGACTACACAGTCAAATCCATGAAGGTTTTGGGTGCCATTTTTGGAAGTGGTTTCCCCTTGTCATCTTCCAAAGATAGAGCGAGTGGGACTGGCCCAATCACCCAGCCAGGTGGTTTCATGCCTAAGGCAGGACCTGAACCCAGGTTTCCCTGCTCCTAGACTACTAGCACCTTAACCATTGGACCAAACTAGATGTAGCAACTGGGAAGTAATTTATTACACTATTTATTCAACTGCTACAATTTAAACAACTTTAGTATCTAAAACAGTTAAATCTCTTTTAATAATTTAAGCAATACAGTCAAAAGGAAAACTTTCGTATCAATGAAAAGCCATATCACTTTGCAGATCATTTTACAAAAGCAAACAATTTGCATTCTATATGTGCCTGTGGTTTTCAAGCAGTCTTGAAAACTGCATGAACTTGTTCCGTCCAAGGACTTGTGAAATTGGATGCAGAAGTTTTAGTAACTGTTTCTATACTGAGATAATTCATCCCTACTCCCTGAAATTATGATTTGGCTGCTATAGCAGATCTAAAGTCTCTCTGGGTATCTTAAAGATTAACAAAATTATCAAAAAGCTAAACTACAATCAATTTATTCATCTTTGACATGTCACAATTTGCATTTCAGTTGAATTCTCATATGGAGTCTGTTACTTTAAACTGCACCCTCTGTTTTTATGTGTACTGTATGCTATAATTTCTTGAGAAGGGCCAACAGCATATTATAGAGAACACATAAATTGTTAGAAAAGGAAAATTGAAATCATACTCATGAAAGAACATCCATGATATATCAAATGTCTATGGAGAGTCTTAGTCATCCAGGTCATGGTTGTCCCAAAGGTGCCTTTCAACAGGTAACTGACTTCATTTTCTTCTTGGAAATGTTTCCCATCTCATCCAAGAAGCTTCTTCAGTTCTCTTCTTCAGAACTGAAGAAGCTTCTTGGATGAGAAGCAAAATGTCCTCAAGGAAAAAAACAAAGTCCAGTTACCTTTTGAAAACCACCTTCGGAACATGGTACAGCAAGCAAAGTATTACTGGCTATTACTGCCAGGCTGAAGGTAGCATTTTATGCCTTGCCATTCTCTATTGATGCAAGTACAGCCAAAGATAAAAACTCTTTAACCTTCTGATACTTATTCCCATTTGATCAAATCCCTGACACCAGCCTCTTCCTCTCCCTTACTTCCACTCCCATGTTTCTTGTCTTGTGATTGGACTCTAAGTCCACTCCCACACGCCTCCATTTCAATTTGGAACCCAAGTATAAACCACAGCTAATATTGTTTTCTTCAGCCTTGGTTTCTCCAGATGGCCTAAAAACCACCAATCCCTTCTTCCAATCCAAAAATAGGGCCACCAGAAACTCATTCTCCAGATGCCTCTTGCCAGCTAAAGAACTCCATTTGATAATTACATCTGCCCAACGGCCCGTCTCTTCTCCAGACGTGTTGGGACTACAGTCCACGTCATCTCCTTTTTAGTGTGCAAAGGGAGAATGGTGTGAACTACCTTCCTATAGCTGCAGACACTACAAGCCCTTGACTCTGACCACAAAGGCTCTACTGTCAATGTTCCCTTCAATCATCACACCCACCCACATCCTTCAAATAACTGAGGGGTCAGGAGGAGTCTCCTTAGCCACTATTTTTAGAATGGCCAGGGCTGCAATGGGCAAAGCAAAAGATTCTCTTACAGTGGAGCTATTAGGGTCACCATAACCTTCTCCCTATAAATGTAGGGCTGCTTCCAATATCCACCCAGATGCAATTCCTCTGAAATGGGTTGGATCATTCCTATCAAGGCAGAAGCAGCCCGACACCCCTGCAAGCCCACATCAAGTTCCTTCTTCTTTTGCTTGCAAACGGCTTGGCTTGGCTCTCTTTCCCTGTACCCGATTACAGGTAGTCCTCAACCTACGACCACAACGGAGCCCAACGTTTATGTTAAGCGAGAAATTTGTTAAGTGAGTTTTTGCCCCCATTTTGTGAAAGTGAACTACTGCGGTTGTAAAATTGGTAACATGATTGTGGTGGAAGTGAATCTGGTTTCCCCCATTGACTTCGGGACACTGCAACCGTCATAAATGTGAGTCAGTCATCAACCATTCAAGGGTAAATCACATGACCACGGGGATACTACAACGGTTGTAAGTATGCAAAAACTGTCATGTCACTTTTTTTTTTTCAGTGGCGGCGTAACATTCGCACGGTGACGGAATTGTTATAAGTCGGGGACTACCTGTATTTCTTTTAAGACACACCGAAGTGCTGACATCTGCATTTATGCTATACAAATACACACACACCCCAACAATTCCTATTGCGCACCATTCTTCTTTCCAGGAAAAATGAAGCTTTTGTTCATATGGCAGCATATTCAGGCATTTAAAATTTTGCTTTTTTTAAAAAAAAGGGCCATTAAGAGCTACCCTAGACAGACTGCCCTTCCCCAACCTGACACCCGCCAGACTTATTAGAGCAGGGATCCCCAAACCTGGCAGCTTTAAGACTTGTGGACTTCAACTCCCAGAATTCTCCAGCCAGCATAGCTGGCTGGAGAATTCTGGGAGTTGAAGTCCACAAGTCTTAAAGCTGCCAAGTTTGGGGACTTCTGTATTAGAGACTCTCATTATTTGTCTCCCCAGAGTCAAACCGAGACCAACATCAGCTGCAAACCAAATAATCGGGAAAATGCCAGACGGGAGAAAATCGACCTTACTTACCTGGGAGGAAGACCGTCCCCAATAAAAATTAATGAGATTTCGTTAAGCAAGCCTGCCCAACATGAAGCTATTTTTTTCCCCCCTCTTCAAACAGGTCGGTCGATCTATACACACCCAACGGATTTCTCCCAACCGTCCCGCCGTTTATTAACCATAACCCTGGCAACGAAACATTTTCTTTTTTAAAAAACAAAAAACCGTGAACGGGCTCTTTCTTACCAATGAGCTTCTCGTTAACACTCGGAGGAAAGCTGGCCATCTACGGAGCGGCCCTTCACTCCGACTCTGAACAAGGGTTTAAAAAAAAAAATTAAAATAAGAGGCAGATCCGCTAGCCTCTCCCACTCGCAGCCAAAAGAAAGACAGACAAAATGGCCGGCGCGGGGAGCATTATAAAGAGGGGGCGTGGCTTAGCGGATCTTCCGCCAAGCCACGCCCCCTGCGTGAAGGGCGTGAAGCGGGGAGTGGGGAGAAGACGCTCGTTCGGTCTTTTTTTTTCAGCCCCTTTTTCAACGGGGTGAAATCTCTTGTTTCTTTCAGGCTCCCCCTTTTATTAAGTTAGAATACGATAGGCCCACCAGGGAAGATGCTCCGTTGGGAGAATCCATTATGTGAAGGAAAGGGGGAATACAGGCTATTATTAGGGTTAAAGCAGCTTCTTTTACTAGGGTTATAGCAGCCTTTTTCACGCATTGGGGCATTAATGTCCATTCTGATTGAACTCTGAGACGTTATCTCTCTAGGCAATAAAGCCTCTGAAGCTTGAAATTTGTACCCATGCATGGGGAAAGATGGCTTATAAACTGTATTCAATCTAGGGACCGCCGGTTTTATATTGTGTATATACTTGTAAAGATAATTAAAATTAAATTTAAAATTAAATTTAAATTAAAAGCCACTTAAATAAAAGGCAATTAAAAGACGCTTGCTCCTGGGGAGGAAAGCTATGGCAAATCTAGACAGCATAGTAAAAAGCAGAGACATCACCCTGCCAACAAAAAGTGCATATAGTCAAGGCTGTGGTTTTCCCAGCTGCAATGTATGGCTGTGAAAGTTGGAAAAAGAAAGGCTGAGCACCAAAGAATTGAGGTCTTTGAACTCTGGTGCTGGAGAAGACTCCTGCAAGTCCCTTGGACTGCAAGGCGATCGAACCGGTCAGTCCTAGAAGAGATCAACCCTGACTGCTCTTTAGAAGGCCAGATCCTGAAGATGAAACTCAAATACTTTGGCCACCTAATGAGAAAGAAGGGCTCACTGGAGAAGCGCCTAATGCTGGGAAAGATTGAGGGCAAAAGAAGAAGGGGATGGTGAAGAATGAGGTGGCTGGATGGAGTGATTGAAGCAGTAGGCGTGAGATTAATTGGACTCCAGAGGATGGTAGAGGACAGGAAGGCCTGGAGGAACGTTGTCCGTGGGGTCGCGATGGGTCGGACACGACTTCGCAACTAACAACAACAATATACTTGAATGCCTCTAAGTCAGTGCTGACTCCTCGTGACTGCCTGGACTAGTCCTTTAATCCTTTCGATAACATTTTTGGAAGTGGTTTGCCCTTGCTTTCTTCCTAGGGCTGAGAGAGAATGACTGACCCCAGCTGGCTTTGTGGCCAATGCAGAATTAGAATTCATGATCTTTTGGTTTTGAGCCCCGAGCCTTAACCACTGCACCAAACTGGCTCTCATAGTGGATTTAATTTCTCCCAAAATTCCATCACAGATGGGTTTGCACAACCCATGAAAGATGTGTTGGCTAAATTTTAAGACTGATCAGTTTCAATCTCAGATAGGCTGGTTTATGGCTTGTGTTTACTTACTCTAGGGTTTAACACAATGTTTCATAACCTTTACCTTTTTTAAGATGTGTGGACTTCATCTCCCACAATACCCCAGCCGGCCCAGCCACCAATGTTGAAGTCTATCATCTTAAAATTCCAACCCAATATACTTTTATTGAGATATGACTTGTTAAATTAAAGCTGTAGTAGTCAAATGACTTAAGATGGTTGTTGTGGGGGGCAAAAAGGAAAGAATGCTGTATATATGCTACCTTGAAAAGTATTAAAAGTGGATAACATTTAATCAATAAACCACTAATTTATTTGTATCTTCCTTTTCCTCTAAGAATGCAAGATAACTTATGTGGGATTTTGTAGAGAGATGTACTGTAATTTTCATATCCAAAAAATGAAAAATGCTTTAGATCAGTGGTGAAATCCAATTTTTTTTACTGCCGGATCTGTGGGCGTGGCTTAAACATGGTGTGGCTTGGTGGGCGTGGCTTGGTGGGCATGGCAGGGGAAGGATACTGCAAAATCTCCATTCCCACCCCACCCTGGGGACAGCCAGAGGTGGTATTTGCTGGTTCTCCGAACTACTCAAAATTTCCACTACCAGTTCTCCAGAACCTGCTGGATTTCACCCCTGCTTTAGATTCACACATTGCATACCTTCCCTTCCTTCATTTTATCCCAACAACAACCACAACCCTGTGAGGTTGGTTGGGCTGAGAGAGGGAAAGGCTGTCCCAAGGTCACCCAATAAATCTGCACTGGGAATATTAATATTTTAATCTATCAGTTGTGATCAAATGTTTCAGTCCGTGCTAACAGTTCTGAGATGAGACTTCCATTTTGACCAACACACAGTTATCTGTTTCCTCCCACATATTTATTGTTCTGCTTTTAATGGAGACCTCCAAAGTCCCTTCTAGCCCTATTATTCTATGATTCTGATGTTTTGATCCTAACAGTAGAGGCCCAATGGGGGGGATGTGTCTCAAATGCCCTGAAATAACTTTTTCATTATGTCAAGATGGAGTTTAACCGCACCCTTTTCTTGGCATTTGCTAAATATAAAACTATCAGAGATCTGGAAACTTTTTCAATATGTCTCTGTTCGGTTAAGATTTATGGCTGTCAAAAAGTGCTCCAAATATGTACTCCCAGCTGTGGAGAAAGTTGCAGCAAGCAGATTTAGCTTTAGCTGCCTCACGACGAAAATGAGGCATGCAACGGATTCTTGTGAAAAAGCAACTTCCGTCATTTTTAATTTCACAAGGCAAACCATTTCGACAGCGCACCAAATTATAACCTCAGGCTTCTATTGGGTTCTAAATTCCTAAATGAAATGGTTTAAACAGAAGTGGTGAAGTTTATTTGCTGACACTAATGTTGATTTGAGTAAGAAATGTTTATATGAAATGAAGATGAGCCTTAGCTATCCCAGAAACAAGCAGCACTGTTTTTAGAATTTAAGGCAGCCAAAACGTATGTGGGAACTGTGCAGGATGCTATCACAGGATGAGAGTTTGACTTTCAAGCCCATAAACTGGTTCTGCAGAATGGGTATCCTGACTGCTGAATCCAACAGGGCTTCTTGCTGTATTTAGAAATAAAATAAATAGCACATGCTTTCATTTAGGTGTCTTACTCTCTCCCAAAATCCTCAAACTCTGATTCCAAAATACTGTCTTGATATAGCACCTGTAATTACAGGTAGTCCTTGATTTATGACTACAATTAGGACCAGAATTTCCATTGCGAGGCAAAATAGTTGTTAAGTGAGTTACACCTGATTTTATGGACTTTTTGCCATGGTTGTTAAGCGAATCACTGCAGTCATTAAGCAAATTCAGCTTCTCCCATTAACTTTCCTTGTTTGGAAGCCAGCTGGGAAGGTTACAAATGATAATCCCACGAGCCAGGGACAGTATAACCATTGTAAATACAAGCTGATTGCCAAGTGCTTGAATTTTGATCACATATGCTGTAATGGTCGTAAGTGCAAGGCTGGTCATAAGTCACTTTTTCAATGCTGTTATAACTTCGAACATCACTAAACAAATAGTTAAAGTCAAGGAGTGAGGACTACCTGTATGCCACACAGACAACAATTCCTCAAAATAAGAATGCATGACTGACTTGTTTCTCATTCTAATATTAGCTAAAAAGCCTTCCCCAATGAACTAGAATGGTTATTATTAAAATTCTTGACTATCAGCAGGAACATGCTTGGGAAATGATTCATCCCAGCCACTCAACAGTCATTCTCAAAAAGAGTCATGTGGAAGACAATATCCTTCAGCGCTGAATGACTTGATGCACGTTCTCACAAATATTTCAGGCCCAACAGAAAGAATATGCTTTTGCATTGAGTAACCTCTTGATATTCCTTAAACAAACAAACAACAGCACCATCCTGGCTGTAATTCAGTGATTTTTTTTTCTTTTTCTTTTTGCATACAAAAGTAATGTTTCAATCTTTGGTATGCTGGCTGGGAAAAAATGCTCTTAGTTAGCAAGATTCGGAATGAACTGTAACAATCAGAAATTCAGTCCTACATTTGTTCAAAAGAGCGATTCAAAGATGTTTCTCCCTGCATAGATGGGGGGAATGACCCAGTTTGTGCTTTTGATTCTACCCTGGGAATTTCATGCTTTAATTTTAAAGCATGATTTAGGGGTGGGGAATTGTGGTGGGTGGGAGTGTGTTTGGGGATTGTTATGTGTGTTGGACCTGGTCTTTGGGTGATAAGTGAATTTCATTGCATGGGTATACTGTGTGTACACGTACAATGACAATAAAGTTGTTATTGTTGTTGTTGTTGTTGTTATTGTTATTGTTGTTGTTGTTATTATTATTATTATTATTATTATTATTATTGCTTTAATTTATATGCCGCCCTTCTCCGGAGACTCAGGGTGGCTTACAATGCGTTAAGCAATAGCCTTCATACTTTTATATATTTATATAAAGTCAGCTTATTGCCCCCACAATCTGGGTCCTCATTTCACCTACCTTTGAAAGGATGGAAGGCTGAGTCAACCTTGAGCCTGGTGAGATTTGAACTTGGAGTAATTGCAAGCAGCTGTTGTTAATAACAGTGCTTTAGTCCACTGTACTACAGGCTCTTATTGGTTAATCTTTGGTGAGATTCACAGCCTTTGAGGCTGGTTAATAACTCAGCAGCTCGAGTCCTAACCAAGGACCTAGGAACTGTTAAAGTATCGTCGGAGGATGTAAGCTGTTCTGAGTAAAGTGGTTTTTTGTAGAGTCAAAATGTTAAAGTCCGGTAAATTTAGAATTATAAATTTATTGTTGTTGTTGTTGTTGTTTTTATTATTATTATTATTATTATTTAGAAATAAGAGGTAAAAGTGTGAAACATTCATGCTTGACACATGAAACAACACATCACTGGGCACACTGTCATCATGGCTAGTCTAGAGAAAAGAAGGACTGGGGGGGATATGATAGCAGTATTCCAGTATTTGAGAGGCTGCCACAAAGAGGAGGGGCTCAACTTATTTTCCAAAGCACCAGAAGACAAGAAACAATGGATGGAAACTAATCAAGGAGAGAAGCAACC